ATCACTTAGAAAACAGAAGCAAGTCGATTTCTAGGAACTCAAGGCCCGGCTGGTTTATATGCTGTGTTCCAAATCAGCCAGGGCTACATAGTGAGACCCTCTCTCAAAAAAAAAAAAACAACCCCCTTTCCAAACAAAATCAGCAAAGGAAAATTAAACATGAAAACTGGACCTTAAGGTCTCAAAGACGCTAAGACCACACCAGAGTGCTGCCCTCTTCTCAGTTGTCTCCACCAAACTTGTATATGATGTAGGCATGATTTTCCCTCTGCTTCTGCAGCCTCACCATTTCTCCCAAACAGAGCTGCCTGGGGACAGCTACCTTTGGGAGGAAGGGGAGAAAGCGCTGGGGATCAATGGCTCCAGTGGGGGCAGACTATGGACATTCTGGCATGCTCCAGAGTGGTGGCGCTGGTTGTGTGTGAAGGACCTATTTGTAATCTGATCTTTACTGTGGCTTAAAAGAAAACTTTAAAAAGTCAGCGATGTGTTACTTGATTTTTTTTGGAAACTGTCCTGGAACTGTCAGTAAAGTTTTAAGAGAAATAGAAATGTCTACACGCTTATGGCTAGAACCTGCTTTCTCCAAAAACATTAAGATTTCCCTGGATAAATGGAAAAAGATAATTTAAATATCAGGAATAAATCCACATAGTTCTGCGTGACTTATTAGAGATCTGCTGAAATAAACGACAAATCTTAGTTTTTAATAGAGCAACTAAATTTCATTAGGTCAAATGACTAAGACGGTTTTCATATTTTATTATATATTACATTTTGTGTGTACAAGATCCCATGTGGAGCAGATGAATCTCAGACTTACTCTGTAGTTGAGGATGACCTCCCGACACCTCTACAAGTGCGCACCCTGCCTTTATACGAGCTAAATGTGTTCTGAAAATTATTCCACTAACTAGACTTTTAGCCAGTAAAACATTTTTAAACATTTTATTATGCTATTTTTGGCAAACTATTCCTGTATTACACAGACACATACAAACATACAGACTCACATTCCGATGCATGTGGCCTATGCACACACTAAGGCAGAGAGGTGGCAGTGGGGAATAGTGGGGTGGGTGGTAGGTGAACACTAGACATTTGACTTTGCCACATCAGCATTTGTAGCTAAAAGAAAGCTTAAACACTGAGCATAAGAAGATTCTTTAAGAGGCCTTTCCACTTTTCCCTGTCCCCTTTCCCCTATAATTAGCTGAACAGCCCTCCCTGTCACACACTTTGCTTGTAGAGGTCACCAAGGAGCCTTTGTACAGCCTAAAATTGGCATACTTTCTTTTTTAAAAATAATATTTGTCCCCAGATATTCATTCTCAGAGCTCTCACTGCTTATACGTGTGTAAAGGTCACAGTGTAAACCGTGTATAATAAATTTAACTGCCACTTGTTATTTCAAAATATTGTAACATTTTGTTCGGGAAGATGTGTTTAAAATCACTGTTCTCCCTGTAAGTGCTGATATCTTTAAAACTGAAATAGGTGTGGAGATGTTTGCCCTAAGCGTAGTCTTCTGTATGTGTTTAGTAACAGCATCAAATGCAAATCAATTTCTTACATTGAAGATTTCTGTGATGGTCAAGTTAAAAACTCGAAATTAGAGAACAGCCACTCACGTTTTCATGTGTGCCATGGAAGTTTATCAACACAAGTTCATCCCTTGTGCAGGGGAATAAAGAAGGTGGGTGGTGCCCTTCAGGGGCTTGTGGTCTGGAAGACACAGTAGGCACAGAGAAGTAATGTTGGGATATACTCCTGGGGTGGGAGGCTTTAGCAAAGTAAGTTTTACCAGAAAGGGAAACAAAACCACAAAAAAATGCCCCCCTCCAATCTATATGAATAAAAAGGAATGAGTGCTAGTCACAAAGTCTTTTTTTTTTTTTTTTTCAAGGCAGGGTTTCTCTGTAGCTTTGGATCCTGTCCTGGAACTAGCTCTTGTAGACCAGGCTGGTCTCAAACTCACAGAGATCTGCCTGCCTCTTCACAAGGTCTTTAAGCACAATATTCATCTTTCAAGAGCCTAGAATCCTTGTTGCCGTCATACAATCCATTCCTCGCATATTATTTTAACAGGAACTGTTCCAGCTCAGCAAACAAGGAGGCACACGAACCACTGCATTCAGTAGCACAGCTAGGAAATGTGCTGCGGTGTGTAACTGCACCCAACCCGGACAGGGAACTCTCCCACGACAGCTAACTCCCCATGCGATCCTGTTCAGAGTCATTCTTACACTTAGTTCTGTGGGAATCTCATTTCTAGCTTCGAGCTAAGCATTCTTAGAGATTTACCAGAGTGCCTTGTTTACAGGGCTCTACAAATCGACCAGTGAGCATTTTCCTGTTAGAGCATCAAGACTGTCAATATGAGAAGAGGAACAATCTGTTTCTGATATAAAGTGAAAAAAAAATCCAGAAATGCCTAGAGACTAACATTGACAGACTCCAGCTTATAAATGCCTCCCAAGTCTACCAATTTTTGTGTTTTTAGACCTGTCTGTCATCTATGTATTTTGTGTGTACATGTATGGGGGGGGCTCAAGTGTGCCACAGAGTGGGCGTGGAGGTTAGAGGACAGCTACCCACAGTCATTTCTCTCCTATCTGGGCACCCAACTCAGGTTTGGCAATGGGTACCTTTAGAGCCACCTCGCTGTCTTGTGGGCCCAGTTCACACCATTTCTTGGTGCACAACCCCTCAACCCCGAATCACTAAATTGGGTTTCAGAAAGAGTCGGATTTAAGCGAGTGTACGAGATTGAAAACAACTATCATCGGTGTTAGTTTCCTTAAGCTGACCCAGCATAAACTTTACAACTGTAGCTGAAGCAATTGACTTCAGTTCCCTCAGTTGTCAAGTAGAAGAAATTGAGTTTTCAGTAGACTGAGGGGGCAAACGTCACAATAAAAACAAGTGAAGGGCAGAGAGCTCCAGCTCTCTGGACATCCAGCCCAATTCCCCCAGAAACAACACACTCTAGTTGTTTGATGGCACCATTGTGACTTTTTTCTTCTGGAAAGATTAATATGAACATGATGGGAAAATGAGATATAATTAGTAATATTCATGTGAAGGTTTCTGTTTTCAAAAGTCAATAAGCACAAATGGCAGCTTCAAGCAGCAAGACCAAATCATGGTCTTCTTTCCTTGAGGTTTTGATTCTTTGGCAAAAAATGGAAATAAAGCCACCCATAACCATAGTAGTTTCTGACAGTCATGTTTATGTGAAATGAAATACATTTGCTAATGATAGCGGAGTGTTAAAACGCGTCTGGAACGTTAGTATGGCTGCCACACTTTACCCCTGACTAGCTTACCATTGCACATGACAGTGCAGACAAAGGACTTTGCCAGGGCCATGGAAGGACACGCGAAAGAAAACATCCTCAGTTCAGAGTTCAAAAAGGCCAGATCATGTGATCAAATTGAAATGAATGGATTGTAGGATGAGCTATTTCAGCTGTTCCATCCAGATAGGTACAAGAAACCACGTGAGAGAGGAAGTATTGACCACAGGATGAACAGGTACAGTATAAAGATTCCTAGGACACACTGGAAACGAAGGTTTTTCTCCTCGCGAAATAAAACGTGCCTCAAAACGATAGTGCAACATTTACGGACAGAGCACTTCACCTTGAATTCAAAAGGACTTGTGATTTAAATTAGGAATTGTGACCCCGAATAACCTAAAATAACAGTATCATTATTCATTTTAAAATATACTAAACGTAACATAAAATACTGGAGAAGGTATCTGATCATTAAACACTAAGTTCAAGTAAGAAAACAAAATCCAACAGAAAGCTCCTAGCCATTCTAACTGTTGCAGAATGTGTTTCACACCAAACTAGGTCTTTAAGAAATACTGTGATGTGCTCAACCACCGAGGGCAAATTTTATGACATTTTAAAAGGTAGTCTAGGGCTGGGGATCTAGCTCAGTAGGCAGAACTCTTACATAGCCCCAGGTTTGAGCCTCATAAAAACCTGGGGATGTAGTGGCACAGGCCTCTAATCCCAGCATTCAGGGGGGTGAAGGCAGGAAGATCAGAAGTTCAAGGCCATCTTCATCTATGTGAGACTCCACGGGGTGGGGTGGGGTGGGGAGGATCAGTTCAAAGATACAACTTAAAAGAATACAACTTAAAAGAATCAGGAAATATGAAGTAAAGTTGTTGTAGGGTTTCTGCGTGTCAAATTAGAAATAAATGCATGCATGTTTTTAAAGTAAAGATTTCTCAAAAATAACAATGATCACCTAGACTGAGTAGATAAAACATTGTGTGCAAAGAATATAATGAGTTTAAGATTTAACAAATGCTTAGGAGGGGGTCAATGCATTTCAAACCTTCCAGGCTGATTCCCAGACTGTGGAGGGTGAACTGGTAAAGGTGTCAGCTAAAGAAGGTGGTGGGAGATAACAGCATGTAACGTATGTGTGCACAGATGGTTAGATATATAAAAGACAGATAGGTGGTTGGTGGAACAGTGTGCAGTTAATTAGGCCTGAATCTGAATGCCAGTGATATTCTCTTGGATAGATTTGTCAACTTACTCATGATTTCATTTTACCTTTCTAAAAATTAGGGTAGCATTTTCGTTATATAAAAGATCAGAAAAGTGTAGGAAAGTGCTTGCCAAGCTTTCAAAACTTGATTGTAGGTCAATGAAAACCTTTCATTCATTAGGAGTCTATGAAGCCACTTTCTGGATCTAGTGAGCCCAGTGTCTTGTTTAGCAAAAGGCTGCTGGCTTTGGAGGAAGAAGGCAAGATGACTTAGGGACTCTGTGTGATAGGAAGATGGGAAGGGGAAAATAGGAATGAGAGATAGACGAGACAGAGACAGGATACAAAACAAGTAAAGGTGCTAACTTAAACTGGAATCTTGGAAGTGTCAAACCCTCCTTCCCCCCCCCCAACCTCTAGGAAAGAGAGCTGACATCAGCTAACATAACTCATCCTCCCTTTAACCTCGTCTCCTCAATGAAGGCTGGAGAGCTCTGTTTTAAGATCCTTACACAAAACGCAGTGAGAGTATACGGTCAGGTCACGACTTTTCTGTTTTCCAATGTCTTTGGTCTCAAGAAAGAGGCATTTCTACCGCCACTGTAGGGGTGGGGGAGGGAAGGTAAAAGTTTCTTATTCTTTACAACCAATTCTGTGGCTTCTTCTTTAGGGTGGTCATAATTAGTAGATCAGTTTATCTTAACTTCCCATAGCCTCAGCTTTTGGCCAGTCGTTGGCAGGGAAGATCAGTGCTAATCTATTGCAGCCCAGCTCCCACACTGAGCGCCCCAGAGACTACTGCCTGCCAACTCTGGATTCTGGGATTCCCAGGACATCAGGTCAAGCCACATGGAGGTCCACCAGGGGTACATTCCAGGCATAGTTTCTGCTCTCTCTGGGCTCTGTCCTTAAACATCTGGGTTAACTGGATCGTGCAAACAGGGTTACTAGGCGCAGAAAACAGCTGGGCATGTGGCTGAGGCCAGATCGAACACGACTAGTTCTTAGAAACTGCTTCTGGAAATCCCCGTGCCAAGCAGCATGCGTCAAGTCTGAGCGCCGGTAAGGAATGAGCAAGACCGGGTAGAGTTTGGACTTTGGGAACTAAGTGCACTTTTGAGGAGGCTTTTCACTTTTATGTCAGTTTTGAAGCTGGCTCCATATCAAGGAAGGAGGTGCAAAATGACAAACTCAGTTTAAATACGTATGCTAGCACTCACATACTCCGCAATCTCTCGGACACAGGGATGCGTGGGAAAACTCAGCAAATCCAAGCTCAGCTTCACAGTAAGAGTGGCGGCCAGAGCCGCTTAGCACCTCCCTTGACTTTCGGAGGGTGCGCCTTTCCGTCTACTGCGCATGCGTGCGCGCGCAAACCCCCAGGCCCCGCCTCTCTGGTCGGGACGACAGACGTGCGCCGGGAGGCGGGCTGCGCATGCGCGATCGCCGCGTCAGCCACTTGCGCGGGGCCGGTGACTGAAAGTACCGGGTCGTGTGTGTTTAGCGTGGGGGGAATCTGCCGCGCAGCGTGGATCGGCGCGCGGAGACAGAGAAAAGCGTGGCAAAAAGCTCTGTCCCGGGCTGCGGGAGTCAGAGGTAGTGTTTTTTTTTCCTGTCCCCTTCCCAGCCTAGACCATCCCCCCGCCCCGCACCCTGAGTCTCTCCTGGGGACCCCTTCAGCGCCTCCCTTTCTGAAGTGAGCCCCAGGCAAGGTCATGAAGCTGGTGAGGAAGGATATCGAGAAGGACAGTGCGGGGCAGGTCACCCTCGTCCCCGAGGAGCCCGAGGACATGTGGCACACCTACAATCTAGTGCAGGTGGGCGACAGCCTGCGCGCCTCCACCATCCGCAAGGTCCAGACCGAGTCCTCCACGGGCAGCGTGGGGAGCAACCGTGTCCGCACCACCCTCACCCTTTGCGTGGAGGCCATCGACTTTGACTCCCAAGCCTGCCAGCTGCGAGTCAAGGGGACCAATATCCAAGAGAATGAGTACGTGAAGATGGGGGCTTACCACACCATTGAACTGGAGCCCAACCGCCAGTTCACCCTGGCCAAGAAACAGTGGGACAGTGTGGTTCTGGAGCGCATCGAGCAGGCTTGTGACCCAGCCTGGAGTGCTGATGTGGCAGCTGTTGTCATGCAGGAGGGCCTCGCCCACGTCTGCCTAGTCACGCCCAGTATGACCCTCACCCGTGCGAAGGTGGAGGTGAACATCCCCAGGAAACGTAAAGGCAACTGTTCCCAGCATGACCGGGCCCTGGAGAGGTTCTATGAACAGGTGGTCCAGGCCATTCAGCGCCATATCAACTTTGACGTTGTCAAGTGCGTTCTGGTGGCCAGCCCGGGATTTGTGCGAGAGCAGTTCTGCGACTACATGTTTCAGCAGGCGGTGAAGACGGACAACAAGACGCTCCTGGAAAACCGCTCCAAATTCCTTCAGGTAAAACTCTTACCAAGAGAGAGCTAAGAGTGGGCAGAAGGATTGCTATGAGTGGTTCCTGATGTTTTAGAATGGGGAGGAGCAGAAGTCTTAAAACTTGGTTCAGCTGGAATTAAAATCGAATTAGCAAAGAGATCGGTGTAGTGTCTAGCACCTTCCTAAGGTAACCTTTGCTAAAGTCCTTAAATAGATAAGGCCTTATTCATGCTTTTGTCTTATGCGATATGGGCTGATTAATGGATACTTTCAACGATTGTCTTTCATCATTGTGATTCTAGGTACACGCCTCCTCTGGACACAAGTACTCCCTGAAAGAGGCCCTTTGTGACCCCACCGTAGCTAGCCGCCTTTCGGACACGAAAGCAGCTGGGGAAGTGAAAGCCTTGGATGACTTCTATAAAATGTTGCAGCACGAGCCTGACCGCGCTTTCTATGGACTCAAGCAGGTGGAGAGGGCCAACGAAGCCTTGGCGATCGACACGTTGCTCATCAGCGATGAGCTTTTCCGGCATCAGGACGTGGCCACCCGCAGCCGGTACGTCAGGCTGGTGGACAGCGTGAAAGACAACGCAGGCACGGTTCGGATATTCTCCAGTCTCCATGTGTCTGGGGAACAGCTTGGCCAGCTGACGGGAGTGGCTGCCATTCTCCGCTTCCCTGTGCCGGAACTTTCCGACCAGGAAGATAATTCCAGTTCTGAAGAGGATTAAGACCGACATTTAATAGTTGCTTCTGCTCCCTTACTTCTCAGCATCGCTTGACAGGTGCAAGAGCGGCACTTGTTGATCGGGCTGGGATTTCCTGTGTGTTGGACACACTAGGACGTGTATTCAAATTAAATAAACCAAAAGAAAAGAATGTCCAAGCATTATGTTTTCTGATTAGAGTTTTTTTTCCCTCTAAATTCTTGAAAACAACAATTTGTGTATCTAAGAGAAAAGGTCTATTGTTTGGGTTTGACCATGAAACCCCATATATGTGTTTTAATTGGTTTTCCTTGTAAAAGCCTTAATCTCTCATGAAGTTTATTTTCATTCTACATGGCATTTTTTTCATTTCATTTAATGATCCTTTTTTCTCACTTCTAGTTTTTTTTCAAGATTTGACAACATTTACTGCTTAAGTGGTAGCCAACCCGTAAACAAAGCCAAGTCTGAGATACTATTTTCTTTTAGAGATTTGTTGAACTAGTCGTTTCTAAAACTCTTGTTGCTCTGTGGTTGTTCTACTCATATTTTCTGTAGACAGTTATTCTCAGGCAGTAGAGGGTCTGCTCTACCAAAGGTTCCCAACATAGTCTCAGGACCTTAAAGCTGAGATGAGAGCCTGTGGTTCACTTCCTGCGGAGCCGAGGGGTGAGTGCACATCTGGGCACCTCTCCAACCTGGACTTCAGCTCTTGACACTGAAACCCTGCCACATTCTTGGTTTGCCGAGAGCTTTATTTACTGTGACTTGGCCAATGTTACACTTTATGCGGTGCCTGTGGTGTTAGTCTGTGATTCTTCCTTCATACTGGTCCATGTCATATGTGAAGAAAAGCATGTTCAGGGAGTTGAGTACCTTGGATGACTGTGTGGAAGTTGTAGTGTAGCACTTCTAACTGTAGATAAGGAATTTATACAAATTACCACTTAGACTGTTTTTACTATGTATATGCGTGTTCCTTAGATCGGGAGCTTTGGGGATATGAAATTGCAACTTCATCTTTGACAAACACAGTTTAGCATGTGATAAACTTGTTAACTTGTTTAGATTTTTCCTATGGTGCTAAGAACCGATATGATCATGATCTATCTTTATCTACCTTCTAAAAACAACTCAGGTTGTCATTCCATCTTAATAATTAGCTTTAATATTGAGACTTTAATAAAATAACTTAATAGGAATACAGAGTGGAAGTCATTATAGTCTTAAATTTAGGGCCGGCTGGTAATGAATCCTGGTTTCAGGACATAAATTACTGCTGTAATATCTCTAGTACTAAAATGAAGTCTAATAAACCTGTGAGTACGTTTTTAGAGCAAAATTTGGCATTGCACGGCCGTAGCTTTTCGTTGGGAACCCTTAGTGCCTAAGCTGCAGCCCAGAGCAATTAAACAGCCTTTCACTCTTGGAAGTGGGTGAAAAGTTGTTCATTTCAGCCAATTACTGAGATAAGCTGGGCATGGCAGCCTTTGTTTTTGATCTCCAGTGCTGGTTGAGCAGAGGCAGGTGTATCTCTGAGTTCAAGGACAGCTGGGACTGCACCTTAAAAATCATTGAGACAGTTGCATTAGGCTTCGGGGGCTGAGAAGCTGATTCCGAACTTGGTATTTGCATGAGAGGTTGATTGGGAACTTACTGTTTGCGAGACCAGCAGTACTTGTTGCAGACTTGTTAGAACCTTGAACCCGATGCTCTGCTCGGGAGCCAGCACTAGTTTGTTGCAGTCCAGGTGATTGCCGTGTGGAATAAAATGTCAGAGATAGCCTTTCCAAGCAGAATTAGGAAGTTAGACTGGATTTCCAGATTTAAGTTTAACAGAGTATTCTGATGTGGCTATAAGACCTCTAAGTAAATGCCAGTTTAAAGTGCATAGGAAATCTAACGCTTATTTTTTTAATTTATTATTATTATTTTTCGAGACAGGGTTACTCTGTGTGGCCCTGGATGTCCCGGAACTTACTCTCTAGACCAAGCTGGACTTGAACTCAAGAGATCCTCCTACCTCTTGAGCGCTAGGATCAAAGGCGTGCACCACTGCCACCCACAAACTGCTTCTTATATTCACATTTTATGTTTCTGTCCAAAGTATAATTCATACTATACCATAGGAACAAATACAAAAATAATGATAAAAGCAAATTAAATTTAAAACTCTATTAATTGTCGTTGATTTTTCTAAAAATCAGAGTGGAACGTAAGTCTTCAGAAATTTTGCCTGCTGGTCATTAGAAAGAACAGCAGCGCCGTAACCTTAGATGTGGTGGCTCTTGCCTTTAATCCCAGCACTCAGGAGGCAGAGGCAGGCGGATCTCTGTGAGTTCGAGACTGGCCTGGTCTACAAGAGCTAGTTCCAGGACAGCCTCCAAAGCCACAGAGAAACCCTGTCTTGAAAAACCAAAAAGGGAAAGAGAGAGAGAGAGAGAGAGAGAGAGAGAGAGAGAGAGAGAGAAGAGACTTGAGACGTGGGGCGACCGAAGGACAGGCAGGTGCGCTCAGCACAGACGTGTCTCAGGAAGGAGTCTGGATTCATCAGAACAGGAGACAAGCAGACGGATGGAAGTGAACTGTTTATAGCCACTGCTCAGCTCCATCTGGGACGAACAGGAAGGGCAAGAGTGTAAACAGGAAGACTGCTGAGAAGGGTTTGTAGTAAAGAACCGAGAGGCGTGAAAGCCGTGATGAGGCAGTGCAGAATACAGTCGGAATACAAGGATGTGACCCGGGCTGCAGGTTTGTCAGAGTTACAAAAGTAGACTCTAAAGATAAATTTCAGATTCTCTGAGTGCTAGGATGAAGCAACAGTTCAAACAGGAGGTAAGAGAAGCTGACTTGGAAGGAGAAATAGTTTAGTTCAGATTGAACAGTGTGCGGGACACCTGGAGTGTTCTCTCTGAGGCTGGAGTCTCAGTGAGGTCTTCATCAGCCTTGTAAAGTTGTTACTTAAAAAAAAAAAGTATTGGGATGTTCTGATTTAATTTACTAAAAGTTGTTTTTAATATTCTATTTTTAGTGCAAGCAAACATTAACAAGCTCTAAGCCAACAGTCCTCAGCTGCTCAGCCAAGGGTCATGGCCCCTTTGGGAGTTGAATGGCCCTTACACAGGGGTTACCTAGACTTGCCAGAAAACACAGAAATCACCAATATTTGCATTACAGTTCATAACAGCAGCAAGATTACAGTTATGAAGTAACAAAGAAAGTAATGTTATGGTTGGGAGTCAGTACAACATGAGGAAGCGCATTAAAGTGTCGCTGCATTAGGAAGGCTGAGAACCACGACTGTAAGCTATTATTCAGGCCAAGAAATTAGTTGCTGGCCAAGACCTCACGCTGCCTAGTATAATAGGTATCTTAAATTTTTTTGCATCTATCTTAGACCTGTGGAAAAATTTTTGCCAAGTTGTATTTTTATCGTAAAAGTAGAAAGTACTTGTTTTGACATTTTTTTTGAATTGGCTTGTAATTTTATTGACATATTTGCCACGAAAATGAGTTCTCCAGCAATGAAAACCACCTAAAGTGAAGAACTCAAATACTAAAAAGAGCCGCTCATCCAGGGTGGCATATTCCTTCCTATCACCTAGCCTTATGAAGGGCTGAGGCAGGAGGATGATGAGTTCTAGCTTAACCTCAGCAACATAGCAAGATTGTGTCTCAAAAATGAGCTGCATTTCAGATTAGGTTAAAAAAAATCCTCCGCAGCAGAGTAGTTTCCTTGCCATTGATTCAGCTTTAATCCCTCTCCTGTGAACAAGCTTCGGCACTTTGATTGTATGTACTGTGAAACAGATTCCTAACTGCTTCCTAACTATGTTTTCTGTACATGTAGAGATCGGCATGGAAGTCAAACATTTACTAATACCTTTATAGTTAAACAATTTTTGATGTACGTATCAAGTTTACTGATGAATGAAGTAGATGTGTTTAATTTGACGTAAGGGATCACATATTTGTGGATGAGCTGACACCGGCGAGTGCCCATCTTCAACACTTTTGGAGTCGATCCATACATTTCTTATATTCCCAGTGCTGAGACTGACAGTTGTCATTGTCATGAATGCATCGTAGGAAATAATAGAGGTACATATAGGGAAAATTTCATAAGTTCTTGGAAGTTCTGGCCAAATCCATTTTATTTAACATGAATATGCCACCTTGGCACCCCAGTTTCAGTGAACCCTACATAAAGCGCCTGAGACACTTCTAGGTTTAGAAATCACTGTTTTCTGCTCCTAGAGAAACAGTAATTTAGGAGACAAGACTACAATCAGCCTCATTCTTAAGCATGTAGATACCAAATTTTCATACAATTGGATGGTGTTAGAATGTTTAATTTAAAAATTTGTTGAGTTGTCGATTTACTCTCTCATTATTCATTAAGATTGATTGCTCACATTCCAACTATGTTCAGGATGCTAATTTAATGAAAGTGCCTGTTTTCTATAATGTCAGAGAATTGGAGGACTTGGGACTATTTTGATCGGGGTGACATATTTGTCTTAGGAACAGCCAATTCTGAGGCAGTTGCAGCATCTAGCAGGCTGCAAATACAACAGAAACGTGAGCTGCAGGCCGTGCCTGCTGTGCACAGATTGATATCACTGCCCCCCAATCCAGGAATGGAGAAACTCTGTCTTTAAATCTCAGCTCCCGTGATGAGGGCTTTAAAATGCCTTAGTTCTCCAAGAACCTTTTTAAAAAGAAAGATTTTATCATCATTTTCATATGAGAAAAATTAAGAGAGTTAATGACCTAAATCACCGCCAGTGAATGTAAAATGTGCCCTATAAAACTGCTCCATTAAAGTGTATAAGAATGTCCATTCTGATTCCTAGTTGTCTTTTTGGTATTGGTCATGTCTGTGTCTAGAGCAAACTAATGAGGTAACTATATGATGTAATGAGCTTACATTTATTTAAGTTTATTTCTTTTCCACTATGTAATCTACTAGCAGTTCAATCCTATGATTTTTTTTTCTCTGCCTAAAACATAACTGAGCATTAGAAAGTTTGTACAGAAGCAAGCCCCTCCAGTCTGACAGGAAGTTAGCAAGCTTGTTTCAGTTTTGAAACTTAGCCTCTCTGTATACCTGTGTGTGCATACAGGGGGGCCTGTACCACCTGTGCCTGTGAGGGCCCAGCAAACTTTGCTGTAGTTTCT